TAGACACACGTACAAATCGTGCGATGAGTGTGAGCTGGATTGAGAGGGGACAGCCGGTAACACAGTGTGAGTGGCCTGTGGTTATGCCGAACGGTGGCATTTTCGGCGCATTATCGTGCAGTCTGTAAACTCAGTGAGTTACATGAAAATCATGCACGTACAATGTTTGTAGATCTACCTGCTTGCGTTTGGCCGCAGCGAGAAGACACTAACACAGAAATCGTGTGGTGCCCCTGGTCAGAGACTCTGAGTGGTCTGGGTCCAGACCGGAGAAAGGATTGCCGGGTTGTCAACACGGTCTATGCGGATAGAAGCGTGTTGTGTGGAAACAGCGCTGGTGGTGACGTGAAAATAGTGTGCTTGGGGATCTGCGCTGATAGTGGCGTGGAAATGGTGTGCTTGCACTGCTTGGCCGACTGGATTACGAAGATTCGATGATTGACCGATATTCATCGGGGCCTTTTCAGTAAGAGCGAAGTGTTAGCAAACAGCGCTGGTAGTGGCGTAAAAATGGTACGCTTGGCCGACGCACGAACGAATCTCGCATGCTTTGAGGGGATGGGAAAAATTAAACAGTGTGAGGTCGATGCTCGCAATACTTCGCCTCATCGACAAGGCAAATAATGCATTGACTTCGACGCTCGTCTGGCTCTGAGTTCAGTGGACGACATGTGATTTGGGAGTCAGTAACAGTGGCACGGACACTGTTGCAGTGCTGGTTGTTGGCATTTCCAGGTATCACTATGACTTCTTGTGTGAGTGGAAAATGAAAGGCGAAGCATTTTGTTTCTCGACGGGTTCTCGACAATTCCGACCCGGACGCACGGAAACATCGTCAATACTAAGAGAGCGAGAGGGGGAGAGAGAAAATGGGTAGGGTGGGCTAGCGGGATTGGAGACGGGAATGATGGGCTTTCGGTGAGGCTTGATTTGATCGCTTGGGTGGCGCTGGTGTGCGCTAGGCTCATTACTACCGATATATCTGATGGCGAAGCAGTTTGGGTCTCGATGGAAATTTGAAATTTGTGACCTGTAACGCACGGAAACGTCGTCATGTGGGCACAGAGTGAGGTAATGCCACGGTGTACGTGTCGGGCTGACGCGGCCGGATGGGTGGCTACCAAATTGGTGGTAATTCGGTGGGTTGGGAGGCGCGGGGATGAGGGGACTGAGTGGATATTCTCCGGCTCGTCGTACTGCTCGGCCGATGCTGCATAGAGCGATTGGAGCTGAGATCTCACGGGACTGTGCTCCTGGGCTCGGCAATCTGGGGTCTTGCGCTGCAGGGCACAGGACGGCTACAAGAGCTGGTGGAATACGACGTGATGATGGGGGAGGCAGTGAGTGTGATTGCGAGGAGCGAGTCCATCCAAGGATCACTCGCGACGATGATGTTGATCGCTAATTTAGCGTCGCATTGTTGGGCTGTACACCCGCACAATGGTAGCGTATGGGCGCATTCCATGGGGACACGGTGAGAGGAGAAAGGGCACGTGGATTGGCCGGTATTCGTCACGGATGCTAGACCTGAGATTGAGAGCGAGAGAGATAGAGAGAGAAAAAAAGGGGGAAGTATGGTGGCAAAGCTATCAGTGGCGTCGAAGTTCACCTTTGGAGCGAGAGCTCGGCGAACACCTGGCTGTCCTTGTCTCCTCGCTGAGGTAAGAAAGTATAATTATGGCCTTCGGTCGTCGACACACGTACAAATCGTGCGATGAGTGTGGACTGGATTGAGAGGGGTAACACAGTGTGATTGGCCTGTGTTTATGCCGAACGGTGGCATTCTCGGGGCATTCTCGGGCAGTCTGTAAACTCAGTGAGTTACATGAAAATCGTGTACGTACAATGTTTGTAGATCTACCTGCTTGCGTTTGGCCGCAGCGAGTACACGCTAACACAGAAATCGTGTGGTGCCCGCGGTGAGAGACTCTGAGTGGTCTGGCTCCAGATTGTAGAAAGCATTGCAGAATCATGTTGTGTGGAAACAGCGCTGGTAGTGACGTGAAACTACATGTAGTGTCACTGTGCTTGGGGAACTGCGCTGATAGTGATAGTGGCGTGAAAATAGTGTGCTTGGTCAGCGCACGAACGAATCTTATGGTGAAACCAGGCTGGATTACGAAGATTCGGTGATTGACCGAGGTTCATCGGGGCATTTTCAGTAAGAGCGAGGTGTTAGGGAACAGCGCGGGTAATGGCGTAAAAATGGTGCGCTTGTCCGGCGCATGAACGAATCTCGGCATGCTATGAGGGGTTGGAAAAGGGACTCGTACTATCCGCCGAGATGAATTTTTCTATGCGATACGCCTCTTGCCTTCTTGAAGCAAGGAGGCGATCGCGACCACCAAGATCGTTAGAAACACAACAGGCACCTTGGCCACAGCCAGACAACGAGACTAGAGCTTGGATCCCCTTGGAAAGGAAAAGGACGTGATTGTCGTTTTGCACTTTTACAAAGTGGCTACCAGTATGCGATGCCCTGCGACCAGTTCGGTGAGCTGGTTGTCAGATCGCGCTTAGTTGTAAAATCTCTGCAACATCAGCCCACGTCGTGTATCTCATCTCTCCCTGCTGTCGTTGGCCCAAAAAATGCCCAACTCCCTATGGTCTAAACGCGCAAAGCAGAAGAGAAGCGTCGTTGACGGGAATGTCGAAGACCTGTGCCCATGCTTGGCTATGGCTATGGTGAATGCTCTCACTAACGCCATGGCGCCAGTAACGGTGACTTGCCATGTCAGGTACTACTACTAGTACTACTAGTACTACTACTAGCTTCTAGATTATGCTCTGGTGAAAGGTGCATGTAGATCTACCAGCAGCACAGGCTCAGTGCATCCTATGAAGTATGATTGTCTACAATACTAAAAACATAGAACTCGCGCGCACGTAGATCTACATGTACGTCCGCAGTGTTTATCTACACCATGTAGTCTACCAGGTAGTCCCGTGCATGCAGTGGCAGCGCACCGGGTACCGCCAGGTCACTGACACTGAGCTGAGCGCTACATGTAGATCTCCATGTCTACTGTCTACTGAACCACGATTTCTGCCGGTGGTTCTGGCAGTTCTGCAAGTACTGACTGTACAATGTAACTACCGGTAATAGGGTGTTCGGTGCCTCGAACCCAGGCGCATTTTGAGTGGAAACAGTTTTGTACGGGGTCCGTGGCACAATCGTACATCACTGTGCTTCTTGCCTTGGCAAGGTAAAATTTTAGCAGCTCAGGACGAGTTTGTTTCTTTGTTGGAAAGAGGAGATGTCTCTGCTGTTGAGACCGTAAGTCCCGTTTCCACACGACGAATTTTAGCAATGTTACGCCCTGCGCAACTTCAGGGTATGGATTTCGGCCTGTTCTGGGCCGGTCGCAACGCCGGCGACTATTCCATCGTCTTCAGCGTCGAAAAACTACGCAGTGTGTGAAATTTGGAGGCTGTACGATGCTGTCTTCTTGTTCTATGAGCGATCGATTTGCGCCAGGATACCAAATGTATGGAGTACATGTACATGTACATGTACATGGAGTTGATGGACTTGGCTGTAGTGCTGTTTATTTGTAGTTTCGCTGAGCTACCACATCAGATAAACCTCTGGTCGCTGTATCTGGAGAGTGGAGAAAGCCATTGTGCAGACAAATTGGTCAAGAGCAGATTTCCTGCCAATACTGCGTTCAATATGCAGCTGAAAATCTGCACAGAATTGACACTCAGAGGATTTGCAAAATTGCAGCGCGCTAACGCAGTGCAGCTACGCAATGCCGTATGCACCGTGTCTGGAGTACATTGTCATCCACATAGCATGGGCAATGTAGGACCAGTGTATTTGTCGACTTTATAATTTACATCCAAATTACGCTTGCACAATCATCCGATAAATGAACTGTCTGTTGATTGTGCGAATCGTATGAATGAATTACATGTGACGTGCGACACCAATTGCCCCGAAGTGATGCACGCGCGCCGTATATGACTGGGAGCAAGTTGTCCTTCTAAAGCTGATGATTAGCAGGACTGCTGCTGCCTTGGCCTGGCTGAAGCTTACATCGTGTTGAAATGGTGCAGCATACCTGTTAATTGGCTGCATGCATCCGGTCCTGCGGCGCAACATGCCCGGGTGCGGGTGCCGTCTCGGCTGAGTGCGTATGTTATTTTCTTGGATGCTTCATCTACATGGGGTAGATAACTGTAATCTCCTCCTGGTGATGTGTCTTTGTAGTACCCGTATTCCAATTAGCTTCAGCCTGTGAAGGGTTACATCTTTCGCATCTATTTCGACTAATTTGTACGCGTTGCTATGGTGGTTGCTATGGGCGTAATTTGAATTAAGCTAATTGGAATACCAAAAAAATTGGTCAAGTGATGGAAGCTCTCTATTGGCTATCATCTGTGGAAATTTGAAAGACCCTGAACGAAATTGATTTTCACCTTGTTCTAGTTGGTTTTGAATTTCCCGGTTTTGTGCCACTGGCCTGCATCAAAACTGTTCCAGAAAAAGTGCCAACAAGCGCACTTCAAACGATCATAACTCTTGAACGTCTGGTCGGATTTAGACAAACCTCATATATTTCCCGGCTAGTTTATCCTACTCTTTCCAATGAGACTAAAATCGAGGAGATTGGAGCAACTTTCAAAATCGTCCGAACACCCTACCGGTAAGTACCGGTAAGTTCTGGACACCATGACTACACCATGACTACACCATGACTACAACTTACATGATTGTACTACTACTACTGAGTACTACAGTAGATCTACAGTACAGTCTTTATGTACGCGCTTGTGTACTGACTGTGCTTGGGCCGTTGCCATTGGTTGCCGCTGTTTGCTGCAACGCGCCCTGGCGAAGTCGAAGAGCACGATTTTGTCAACAACAATCATACAACAGTCAACAGTTACAAGTCATGCCTTCGTGGTCGACATGTGTATGGACAAGCAGCAACACAGAGCTAGAGCTAGAGAGCAGCTCAAGCCAGTGAGTGAGTCAAAGCGCGTACTTCAGTCTTCACTGCCTTCACTGCCTTCACGGCTTCAGACAGTCAAACTGCAGAGGCAGACTGGGCGTGCTGCAGAGCAGTGGATTTTCTTACAGACTGCACCGAAACCAGTGCAACAGCATGCTGAGATTTTATTGTGCGAAGCGCAACTACTGGTAATTGTTTACTTGCATGTTGTTGCCGCGTTATCCTGTCTATGTGATAGACTAGTTCTACTCTAGTAGTGGACGACGAGAGTGTTTACGATTTATCTCTATCGTGTTGGCAAAGCGAAGCTTGTGGCTGAGCCATTGGCTCAAGCCTTCTTCATGGCTGCTTGCTCGGAGACTGCATGGTGATAGAAGTTCTTACTGGTTCGCACTGACTACTGCCACGCTGCCGGGGCTCTAGTGGCTGCGGGACTAGTAGTCGAGCGAGCGCTATGGCTGAAGACGAAGATGCCCAAGCAGCAACGGATCCTCGCATGGACTTCTTCGAGGACTACACGAGGCGCACACTCCGGCTGAAAGCAGACAAGTGGGCCAAGTTCAGCGGACAGGATGAAAACCGTGCAGCCCTCATGGACTTCTGCGAAAAGGCGGAAATTCGACAGCTAATTTTATCGTTGAATAGTAGCAGCCAGCTACAAGCTGGTACGGCCTTTCCGTCGCAAAGCAAGACTAAAGCGGTGTACTTCATCAAGAGAGGCAAAGTGGTGTTGACGAAAGCCAATATCAAGACTGACATATTGTATGGAGATTTGTCCTACTCGCCGCTAGACCACTTGTCAGTGTTGGTGTCAGATGTGAGTACAGTTTTCATGTTAGAATGGCCACCTGATTATCATTATCATATATACAACTATTACTTGCTGTAGCAGGGGCGTCGGAAGGTATTTTAGTGTGGTACGGTCAGCCATCTGAACTGCAGTTTACTGTTGGGAGAGGGATGGCGGAGCCGAAAATTTTGGAAATTTGGATCCCAGATCAGTGTACTTTTATTGATTCACGGGGTACCTGGGGCAAAAAGTGGTACGGCCAATACCGCAGTGACCGTACCGTGTCCGACACCCCTATGTAGGACATACACGCCTCGTTCATCCGGGCGGTCCGGGACCGGGCACTGCCCGTAACTTTGAAATGTCCGTAACTCCGAATCACATACATTTTGACGGGGAAAGGCCATGCGACGTCACTATTTCCACAAAGAAGTGCAGCAGTAATAATTCAAGTGAAACTGGCCCAAAGGGTGCCCGGCAGAGAGTGCTCGTAACTTCATAACTTCGGGGTCCGGATAACCGAGGTATCAGTGTAGACCTACAGGTTCTTCACCTCTAACCTGTGACCATGGTGACACTAGCCCTTAGCTACACCGTAACGTTACGCACACGGCTTGATTTCATCCGAACTTTCACCCAGGGATGTAGGAAGAGGGTACACAGGTGACTATTATAATACAGCCCGTGAACAGAATTCACACTACACTCATGCCTCGGTTATCCGGACCCTGAAGTTACGGGCACTTTGGTCCACCAGGCAGGCATTCTTTGGGCGAGTTTCAGTGGAAATATTACTACTCTTTTGTCACTTGTTGTGGAAATAGTGACGTCCTATACCATATCTATGGCATTTTCTCATCAAAATGTACGTGATTCGGAGCAACGGGCAGTGCCTGGTCCCTGACCGCCTGGATAGACGAGGTATGAGTGTACTAGTACACAGCCACGTACTAGCGCGCAGACATTATGGTGCAAGTGTGCCTTGTGACGAATCTACATGCTTGTGCATACTAGTATCCTTTTGCCTGTGCATGCGGCTGTACTTCATGATGCTGATGGGGATGATACTCTTGTGATGTTCTCTGTACAATACACATTACAGGTTCTGGTACCATTGCTTAGTAACACGAAGAACCATGATGGCTGGCCAGAAGTGGTGACCCAGGATGTCAAACGGCACGTTCATGACTTGAAGAACAGTGTGAATGTGCTCAATGGCCAGGTAAGATTGAAACTGGCACATCTGCCATTCCGCCCCTCTGCCATGCCACATAAGTCGACCGTTTATGGCTTGAACCTAGATTTAAGAAAAAAAGCAGTTCGCCAGGTCATTATCTCCTTTAACGTGAAAGGCGTGACCTCTGGCGTGGGAAACAACCAACTTTCTTATGGATATGGCTTACATTATAGGGCTGAAATGAACGTAACGCTCGAGTATCCTTGATGTTAACGAATGAATGAACGAGCATTCTCCTCACACCCGCGTGCTTGCGCACGAACCAGTATAGGCAAAAACAATGGACTGTTTGAATGCCTTTTTCATGACGCTTTCAAACGTTACTGGCACAATGGAAGCCTCTGCCTGAGCAGCGCCATACTGCTTCTGCTGATGACCAGAATGTTGATTCACAGCGAGAGTTCTTCATCAACTTGCTTCCTGTTGATTCCGTAGAACTAACTGCACTGCCAGAGACGGCAGCGGATTTGGTAAAATGAGCCAGAAGACAGGTTCTGATGTTTTGGGAATAATCTGAACTTGAAACAACAGACACACTACGCTGTGGTCAGCGGAAGAGCTAGCAACAAATGCCAGCACCGTACGAGTGCTCTTCCAATGTTCCCCTACATATACATGTAGTCGCCTCAACTCCAGTCAAGTGTCAGTTCAGATTATGTACTGTCTCCGTGAACTGCTCGCGGGCTGTGTACCACCAGGCACCAAGCTGGTGACGAGCATGCAACCAGGGAATAGAGTACACGTACATTTTAAAAGTGGTGTGTGACATGATCCGGGAATAGAGTACACGTACTTTAAGTGGTGCGTGAAATGATCCGACTGATTACTGGTTTACTGTACCGTACGCACATTCTCAAAGTTTGAATGTTCGTTTGCTGTGACATAGCGAACGGATATTTGAATATTCGATATATTCGTTTCACCCCTATGAATTTAAGGAAACTCTTCATTGTTCTTACGGACAGTCATAATTTGTCCATTGTGATTTTGAACTTAATGTGCAGATGCGCGGACGCACCCTCCTGCCCATGCCCATTGGTACCGAGCGCATAGAAGAAGCTGTTGATGTTATTGAAAGTGGACAACAGTAAGTATAAAACTGCACAATTGTTGTGCTGATGCCACTTGGGAACAAAGAGAGTCGCCACTTTGTAACTACTTGTAGCACAGGATATGGTTTGCGTTTCAGGCTGGTTCCGATGCGCTTAGCACTCACATGCCGGGGCTGCTGGTTTCTACCCGTAGCAATGAGATGGGTTCTTTTTTCACGCCTGAGCGTAGCGAAAGAGTGAAAAAACGTATTTTTCGCTCACAAGTATATTTGTGCATTTGATCTTGTTCTCCGCAACTCCATTGAACCTGCCATCATGGTCTTTGTTTTCCTCTTGGTAGTTGAAGTTAGTGTGAGTGTGATTGCTCTGGTAGACCACTACCCCATGTACTGGACAGTTGCTCTGTGAGTGAAAAGTTGTTTTTCTTCTGTTATTCCTTGGCTATTTTGTAGAATTCATCTGCACTCGGGTGCCTTCATCAACAATGTTGAGACAATACTCATCCAGTGGACAGGACTGGTCTATGATGAGCTAATGCGTGATTCTGGCTCTTCTCTGAAGGATGGTATGTAATATTTGCATTCATGTGTCAGAATATATGCATGCATATGCGTGCATGAAGCACGATGCACAATATCACTTCTGCGATACTATGAGCGACGCGATGGGACCGAGATTCTTTTTCTGCAAAATTTGGAATCGTAGGTTGTCGAGGCTCCGTTGCAGGTCGCGTCGTGGGAAGTTGAGCGTAGTTAAACTTCTGCGACGAGCGACAAGCGATGTGCATCACTTTTGCACGGCAGACACACGTGACACAAGTGTCCCGGCTCGAGTACGGTGTTGGACTGTGCGTGCCCTGCACGATTTCGCTGCAATGTGCCGTGCATTGCGCAGCAAAGGCTATTCGCGAGATATGAGAAAGACATTCGCTCGACGCTCATCGCATCGCAGACGCGATCCTGGATCGCTCTTTAGGGTGTGTATGTGTATGCATGTGTGAGTGTGCCTGTGTGAGTGTGCCTGTGTAGGAATTAGTCTGTGTTCACGCATGCATGTTTGAGTATGCACTCATGTGGCATCACTTTGAGTATGCACTCATGTGACATCACTGTGTTTATTTCAATTGTGCTGTTGTACATGTATGTCCTGCAGATCCAAACACCAGTCCCCAAGTTGAGATTGAATTTTGGAGATCGAGAACAGCTAACTTGGAAGGCATCTGGGAACAGGTGAGTTGGGTTAAAGGGCCAACATGAACACACCATGTAACCATCAAGTAATCAATCATTGCATCTGCGCTTTCCGCCGACTTGCCTTGACATATGATCGACTCACGGCTGCCACCCGAGCACACGAGTAGTCTATCGAACCTTACACACAGAGAACTTGCAAGAAAGCACCACTCCCTGCTCAATAAACAGTGTTTCGGGACATTCACCCCTCATCAGTTGAGCTTGAGCAGGCCAATGAAATGTGTGTCTGAAGAGCACCACTCATCATAGTGTTCTCCAGGCTAAATCATCGCCAGGGATACAAACATACAGAGACACTCCGTTTCCAGCATGACAAACACCTTGTGAACACCAGGCAGGAGCATGAATCAATGTGGGCACAGCACCAGCTGGTTTGGAGGTAATAGCGTTGACCAAGGGTCCTCAACGTCTGTTCTTACCATCCAGGAGCGACACTGAATGCCGCGATGGAAGTTCAATTGATAATATGTTAGGACCAATGCATGAAACTGTTCCATTGGTAATGCATGTTAGGACCAAGGCATCGTAGCCTCCTCAAACTAAGACCATTGGACTCGGCATAAGTTTGCACCATAGTTTCCCGTTAAGTCCTTGGAGCAAGGACACCTAGCAGCAAGTATGTGGAGTTTGAGGTGTGAGCCTTGAGCATTGTACTATCTACATGTATCATCCAATGCCAGTTGGCATAATGGTCTGATTGTGCAGTTTGAATGGCTTACCATTGAACACAGCATAATGCCGGCAATACCCTGATTGTGCAGCTTGAATCTTACCATTGAACACAGCATAATGCAGGCAATACCCGCAACAGCTGCAAGTCATGTGACTAATGCATTCCATTGATTGACTGTGTGCGTGTGTACGTGCGTGCGTGTCTGATGCATTTGTTTGTGTGGATGTCTGTCTGTATGTATGTATGTGCATGTGGCTGTCTGTCGGTCTTTGCACGTCTGTATGTGTGTATATATTCACTTACAGTTGAACAGCTACAAAGTACTGCGTATGAAGGACATGCTAGAGATAGCCCAGAGCGCATACTATCCTTCTTTCCATCAGATGTATGTGGACGTGGAGAAAGGTTAGCAACCAGCCGGAATGATGGTATTTTGCCTGTTATGTCGGGAGAGCTCTTGCTCCGTCTGTTGCCTATCCTGTGTCAATTATCTTGAATATGTCATTTCGTGAAGGGAAATTCCCAGCCATGTGGAAAACTGCGGTAGTCGTGGCCACCTACAAAAATAGAGGACCACGCACCACCCCCAGCAACTATCGCCCTATCTCATTGCTCTCTACTTTATCAAAAGTGTGCGAACGTGTTGTATATGACATCATTTATGATCATGTTCGCATTTCACTTTCGCCAGCACAGTCGGGCTTTTGTCGGGGTGACTCCACCAGGTACCAGGTTACCCGCCTCGTGCAAGACATCCACACCGCCCGGAACGCCCATAACCATGTTGGTTTAGTTTTCTTCGATCTCGCAAAGGCCTTCGACACTGTTTGGCACAGGGGTCTCTTAGCTAAGCTGCGAACAGTATATCGCATTGATGGCAAGGCTATCGGCTGGCTCTCATCGTATCTCTCTAACCGACATCAGCTTGTACGCCTCTCAACTGTGTTATCGGAGCCTTTACCCGTTACTTCTGGAGTCCCCCAGGGTTCAATACTTGGGCCACTGCTATTTCTCCTGTATATTAATGACCTCCCCGATACTGCCCCTGGTGTCAGCCTTTTCGCTGATGACACAGCTCTGCTTTGCTCCAATGCTTGCCCTATACGCCTGCACAAAGCCATGCAAGATAGCATTGGGAAAGTTATAACCTGGATGCATGATTGGAAGTTGCAGCCAAACGTTGATAAAACGGCAGCTATGTACATTTCCCCCTCTCCCCCTTCCCTGCCACTTTGTTTTCCTTCTTCAAGTGTTGCTATTCGCATTGTTGAAGAGCATAAGCATCTTGGCGTTATTATTGACTCTAAATTGTCGTGGTCACCCCATGTGCAGTATGTCTGCAAGCGCACAAGCTCCATCCTTGGGGCTCTTCAAGCCCACTGTAGACATCTTCCTCTTTCTTGCAAACGCTTGTTTTATCGTTGCTATATATTGCCCTTACTTGACTACTGTGATACTGCTTGGTGTGGCATAACTACTACTGTATTGAACAAGCTAGAAACCCATAACCGCATGCTCCTTAAAATCTTATTTAGCAAAGATCGTCGCTTTCCCTCCGCTAGTCTTTACGAAATTGCCAAGATCAGTCCCCTTTCCACTCGACATAAGTACCACCTCTGTGTTCTCATACATAAAATATTACTAAATAAAATACCCTTGCATATGCAGGCTTATAATTGGTTCTCCGAAACACGGAACACCCGGAACTCACTCAGTCTTCCACGCGCTGCCTCCACCCTATTCACTAGATCCCCGATCTTTGCTGGCTATGTGTTTTGGGCAACATTACCAACGCAGGCCAAGACCAGCACGTCGATGGATAATTTTGTTGCTAAAATCTCTGCTCAATTATAGGTTTCATGTATATCCTGCTGGTTTGTCTCCTCCTTTGCCTTCTTTGCCTCTTATTTGTATTCTTTTATCTGTTTTACTGCTGTGGTTGGCTTTCACCCTTGTCTCAGTTTTATTGGCCGTCATCATGATGTGCCATGAGATAATGATATAAATACAAATACAAACCTACATGTATGTACCCTATATCTTGATCCCATGTGTTCCACGTGCACTGGAGTACTGCCACATGCCAGGTACTGCCTTTGCATTGGCAGGGTCTGGTACAGTGCGGGCAGTACACCAGCGTACGTAGAATGCCTTGGATCAACGGTGGTACGAATGTGTACGCGCCTATGCGGGGAATATACATGGGAATAGCGTCCTATATTCCCCGGAAATAACGACTGCTGATTGGCTAAATCCATGGTTTCCTACCGTACTATGGAGCAATAGCCTATGATTGTAGTGTGTATGTTGCTGATATCGCAACATGTACAGTTTGTGCACATGATGACATGATGCAGTATGCACTGTGGTGTGTACACTACATGAATGATCTCTGCATGTACAGCTATGGGCACGTTATTTTATGTGCATGTGTGTGTTTTGTACATTTTTAGCGTTGGAAGAAGCAGAAGAGATCAACCTGACTCTGAGACCAATGAACAAACTACTCGGAAGCATGGAGGAAGCAGATTTTCCCGAAACAATGGCAACCATTCCAGCTGTCATGCATATGTTGGCATTGATTTGGGCCAATTGCGCCTATTATCGCAAACCTGCGCGTATGGTCATTCTCCTGCAAGAGATTGCCAATCAAGTGCTGAATCAGGTAAGCACAGCGGTATGCAGTGCAGCTACGATAAGATGTACCCGAGTGGGGAATGGGGAAAATGTACTTACCATACACGAAACCGCCTATAGTGTAAGTGACGGCAAAGATGGACTTGGTTGCACCAGTACTGTGTCAGAATTGTATTACTGGCTCTGTCCATTGGACATAGAGCACTATACGTAGCCTTAGCAGCTTAGGTCTTAGACGCCTGTGTATGTGCACATGTATGTGCACATGTGTTCAACTCATAATGGTTTTCTTGGCTGCAACAAGGCAAGGCACCATGAGCATATGCTCCCTCTTGATCTGTTGCATTTTCCTATTTCTTATGTCCTTTGACACTTTTCTGTGTATTCTCTCTCTAATCTTTGTATTTGGGGTGACACAGTGTCGCACTCACATTGGCGGAGACGAAATCATCCGAGCAGAAGCTGATGAAGCAGTGGAGAAGATCTTGGAAAGTATCAAAGTATGTTGTGTAGTTTGATCATTTCCTATCCCCGGTGTGTTGGACCATAATAATGAGGGGGTTATGTGTCCCATCAGACCAATAGCTAGAATCTCACTATCTACTAGTATGCAGACAGGAATAGTGGGATGGTCTAAGACCATGATTGAGAAACAGAGAATACCAGGTTCAAGTCCTGGGAAATCGTGGTCTGGCACGAGGGAAGCATGGATGCAGCGAATGGGATTTTCAGTCTTTGGCCACTTTGTGGTGGGTCTGATCAACTCCTCTCCCAGTACACATTTTCAAGAGGCCTGACGTCACCACTATGACTGCCTATTGTAGTGTCTCAGACATGGTGGTGGAGTGCTGGGAGAGCATAACAAGCTCATCTGTATCTCGAACTAAAAGTGGTGTTTTGTGTTGCTAGTGCTGTTACTACTTCTGTTACTGCTACTGTTGACGGAGGTGATGTTGATTCTGTGGATCCTACTGACATTACTGTTGCTGATGTTGTTGTTGTTTTATTTTTATTCCCACATTGTTGTTGTCGTCGTCGTCGTTGTTGGCGCTGCTGCTGTACCTATCAAGGTTTGTGAAAGTGTGGAAGTAGCTTACAAGCATGTCCAGGACAACATCGGCGACTTCTTCAAGGAAAACCCAGATGATTTGCTCCCCTGGGATTTTCAGACTGAGAAAGTATTTGAACGTCTGACTAAGTTCATTGAACGCTTGGACACCATGGTGGTAAGTTAAAGAGAGAGAGAGTGAAGCCTGCTTGTATTCCAGTGTGTTATGTGCTGTTGTTATGTGTTGTTGAAGAGACTGAAGCGTGTCCTTCTTCTTAGTGCTATTGAATTCTTGTCTCCAAGGAAACCGAAAGTGTTATGTGAGAAATGGACTCGGATGGAGAGCCAAGGTTCAATTTATACAAAAGAGCTGTTAGCCAGTTAGTTGTAGAACATCAGTACCGTCGGTCAGTGTCGTGCAATGTTATCGCATGAGCTGATTGTTTAGTAACTGGTGGTGTTAGTGGACAGTATAGCGTAACTTGTAGTTCCTTGGTCCTTTCTCCTTTCTATTATGTGAGAGTTGGACATGAGCTAACTTTGGATTCTTCCCTTAGGTTTTTCCCCCAACGATTATGGATATTTCAACGAGAGACCTAGCTCAGAACACTTTGCAATCAGGCTTGTTCATCATCACAATTATTTTTGATGAACTTGCTGATGTCATTGGTCGCACGATCAGCCATGTGTGATGACAGCATGTTGGTCATGCAGACCACCGACCACACACATATACATGTATATACATACGCATTAAAGAGTCGTTGACCCTGGCTAGCACCAGGCGCTACATTTCGTAACGTCTTCTGCATAACTACAGGATAACACTGATCTCTTCAAACTAGAACTGCGATGGTGGTGGTGACGGTGGTGACAACAAGAACACCATTCAGAACAACGGGGGTAGATGTTCCTTCGATTTTCAATACCTTCAATCTCTACTGTATGCTGTGAACACGTCGTGTGCGTGTATGCATGCGTGTGTGTGTATGCATGCGTGTGCGTGCGCATATTTTGTGTGTGTGTGTGTGTGTGTGTGTGTGTGTGTGTGTGTGTGTGTGTGTGTGTGTGTGTGTGTGTGTGTGTTGATATGCAAAGGGCATGTTTCGTACAATGCTTGAGTTCCTGAAGTTAGAGAAGATGGAGGTGTCTGGATTGAGTGGCAACATTCACAGCTCAATGATACAAGCTATCTTCACTGAGTTCAATGATACCGTGACGGAACTGCAGCAGAAACCCTACGATGCTCTGGATCCGGACAGTGATGTAAGTCATGACACATGATCTATTGCACATGTACAGCGCTGCTCGATGAAATCCAATAGCATGAGTGCAGTACGCGCTGCCGGGTGCTGTGCATGCCTGGACCTGCGAACCCTCGGATGTTCACTGGAACAGGGCGCAGAATTGACTCACTCGATCGGATATCATAGAGCAGCACTGCAGTCTGCACTTGTACATGTACTGCACACGCACATATACTGCAGGTGCTGTAGTGTAAATATACAGGACCAGCAGAAACAGTTTAGATTGGTCCGGCCATACCCTAGCCTTTCATACAGTTTGTGTGTGATATGGAGGGTAGTCACATGACTTTCATACAGTTTGTGTATGATATGGAGGGTATATACATGACTTTCATACAGTTTGTGTATGATATGGAGGGTATACACATGACTTTCATACAGTTTGTGTATGATATGGAGGGTATACACATGACTTTCATACAGTTTGTGTATGATATGGAGGGTATACACATGACTTTCATACAGTTTGTGTGTGATATGGAGGGTATATACATGACTTTCATACAGTTTGTGTGTGATATGGAGGGTATATACATGACTTTCATACAGTTTGTGTATGATATGGAGGGTATATACATGACTTTCATACAGTTTGTGTATGATATGGAGGGTATACACATGACTTTCATACAGTTTGTGTATGATATGGAGGGTATACACATGACTTTCATACAGTTTGTGTGTGATATGGAGGGTATATACATGACTTTCATACAGTTTGTGTATGATATGGAGGGTATATACATGACTTTCATACAGTTTGTGTATGATATGGAGGGTATATACATGACTTTCATACAGTTTGTGTATGATATGGAGGGTATACACATGACTTTCATACAGTTTGTGTATGATATGGAGGGTATACACATGACTTTCATACAGTTTGTGTGTGATATGGAGGGTATATACATGACTTTCATACAGTTTGTGTATGATATGGAGGGTATATACATGACTTTCATACAGTTTGTGTATGATATGGAGGGTATACACATGACTTTCATACAGTTTGTGTATGATATGGAGGGTATATACATGACTTTCATACAGTTTGTGTATGATATGGAGGGTATACACATGACTTTCATACAGTTTGTGTATGATATGGAGGGTATACACATGACTTTCATACAGTGTGTGTATGATATGGAGGGTATACACATGACTTTCATACAGTTTGTGTGTGATATGGAGGCCGGGTATACACATGACCTCCTCAACAGTAAGCAAAGGTTGTCCGGCCAGGACCGATTCCCCCGACCCTGTAGTATGCACATTCTTCAATGAGATTTCAGCAAACAATCAGACGCTAACGTAATGGTGTTAGTAGATGTCTGCACTGGTCAGGACTTAGTTCACTAGTCTCGAGTTCACACCGTTCAGTGCCGAGCTGCTCAACATTTACTGGTACTAGTGCTGATTTGAACCATGTGTGCAGTGTGTGCAGTGCACATGGATATAGCGTGTGCCTTTTATAAAATGTGTGCACGTAAACTATTCAATCCTCGATCCATTCCTGACTCTCACCCTCAGTGACCCCTGTAGCTAGCCATACAGCCCCCAGTACTACCATGGCCAGCATGCATGCATGCGTGCGTACATGTACTCATGTATGTTCAGTGTCACGGTCACCACTGCTATGATCCCGGGAGTAGTGTATTATCCCTGCAACTTCACATCTTGCCCTACAAATGGAGAACTGCCCACAAAACTTCGATCCACACAACATGGGGTCAAATCTTTGTGATCTGGAAGAGTCTCATTTGGAGTGCACATGCCAAATGTTTACAGCTAAAGATGGCACATGCCTAATATGCGTGCATGCCCTGCTGTGCATGCCTACGGTCATTCAACACATGGACTTGAAGAGGCAAGGTCAGAAAATAGGCTCTAGCACTACATTTATGTCAGTTACGATTACGGAAAAGATACGACCGCGTTCGCTACACAGTGATAAGAGAACTGAATCCTTTGCCATGTCTATCCATTGGTGTTCTTTCTCTCCAGATCTACCTTCAGGAGAATAAGAAGTTCAGAAATCGCGTACAGGACTGGGATACCCGTCTTGCTACAATTGTTTGTCAGAACTTTGATGAGTGCTCCAGTCCTGACAGTATCTACAAGGTATGGTGGTCACTATGCATGCAGCAACAGGGACGCTGTGGATAGAGTTATACGTTGCATGCAGCAACAGGGACGTTGTGGATAGAGTTATACGTTACATGCAGCAACAGGGACGTTGTGGATAGAGTTATACGTTACATGCAGCAACAGGGACGTTGTGGATAGCGTTATACGTTACATGCAGCAACAGGGACGTTGTGGATAGAGTTATACGTTACATGCAGCAACAGGGACGTGGATAGCGTTATACGTTACATGCAGCAACAGGGACGTTGTGGATAGAGTTATACGTTACATGCAGCAACAGGGACGTTGTGGATAGAGTTATACGTTACAGGCAGCAACAGGGACGTTGTGGATAGCGTTATACATGCAGCAACAGGGACGTCGTGGATAGAGTATGCTGTAGCATCATTGGAACCTGGCTTGGAAGGGTAAACCCAGTAGGTGATTCATTACGGTTTGTTACATAATAATCTGGTAGAAAAGCACCCTCCAATTGTTTACCTTGAATTGGACTTAACTTTCCTGGAAAGCTCCTAATGATATGAACACTTTGAACTAAAACTTTGGAGTGTAGAGTGCATACATGTACACGGGGAAGGGGATATAAGCGAGGAGAAATGGGGCACCCAATGCATACACTGTGCTCTTTTGATATTATGTGTATGCATGTGTGTGTGTGTGTGTGTGTGTGTGTGTGTGTGTGTGTGTGTGTGTGTGTGTGTGTGTGTGTGCGTGTGTGTGTGCGTGTGTGTGTGTGTGCGTGCGTGTGTGATACTCATCCAGTTGATTGAAATGTTCGGCACATTCTTGGATCGTACAATCATTCATGAAGCGTTTGTTGAGAAGTATCCAGACCTGATAATGATGATCAACATTGAGTTGGATGTTACAAAGAGGGTAAGTTGATTTATTCTAGAACCAAGGAAAACTATCATTTTTGATGAATTTCAAACTATTAAAAACGGTTCCAAGGCAGACACAGTTGGAACATATGATTGAAAGGGTAGGCTTTTGCAGAGATTTTCAGAGTGTGTGCAGATATGTGGCGGGACTTGGAGTTGTGCGCGCAACTGAGCTGCAGTTGTGCAGCATGAAGCCTGCTTGAATCCTGCTTTACGCATGGCATCACTAAAATGATGTATGTGTCCAGGAATGTTGCTACGACGGCAAATTACCTGGGCTGCACATTCTTGGTTTCATGCACTCTATGTGCTGTATTTGTGCAGCAGAAGACTTGCTTCGCTCTAGTACATGAATGTACACTCAACATTACTAGAATGATGTAATCAACATTACTAGAATGATGTAATCAACATTACTAGAATGATGTAATCCAGGAAGTAGATGTGGTAGCAAACCATTCAAGCTGCACACTCTTGCCTTAGTTTCATGTGTATGTACCCTTGTTTAGTGTAGAAGTGGTGGCCCGCCGATTCGAATGTTTTTGTTTGATATGTTCCTCAACACGTCACGTGATGCGGGCGCGAATACGGCTAGTTTACTTTTCAAATTTCTTTGTTTCTATGTACTTGCACAGATCTACGATCAACATGAGAATGCTGTGCGTGCGGAGGCTGAGTCCGTTTCAAACGGTGGTGACGACAAGTCGCAGCCATTGAAGATGTCATTGGTTGAGACCGATATGCCACCCGTAGCTGGAAGGCTGAAGTGGGCACAGGAGTTGAAGAGGAGATTCCAACCTCCTGTGCTGAGGATGTTCAAGATCAAAGAGGAAAAGTACATCTATTCCAATTTCCCACCTTCCCATGCATATTACAAAAGAGACTGGCAGGCTGTTCGCATCATCATAGTATAAGATGAGAATAGAACAAGCAAATGCTGCTTCGATCCCCGGCTTAAGGATTCTCAAGACCTATCCAGAAAGTCTCCTTTAACCAACGTACGGGCAACCCCTTCGTATGTCACTTGCTCCAAGTGGAAAATAGGCCCATACAGCAGAAATAGTCCATGATTGTTCACTCTACCATTCTAAGTAATGTGGCAGGTATCACACGGTATACAGTCAACTTCGCTAATAATGACTGCGGATATAACGACAATTTGCAAATAACGACAGCATTTCCATGCGCAGAGCAAAGTCCCATCTAACTGTAATGCACATGATGAGACTTCGCGAATAAGGACACTTTTCTGATGCCCCGCCGAGTGTCGTTATACGCAAAGTTGACTGTAGTTGTGTCACCTGGCATGCCATGCAACAACCACACCAAACACACACGAGGGGAGGCGAGGGGATAATTTCTTCAATGGCGAACTATGCAACTAAGAGAATCTAGGAAACGCTGCCACACACTTGTGAACTGACTGAGTGTTTGCGCTTATTCGTATGTGCGTGCGTGCGCACGTGCGTGTGTGTGTGTGCGCGCGCACGCGCGCCCGTGTGTGTGTGTGTGTGATGCGCGCGATACATTTCATTGTTGTAGAGTTCTGGAGACACAGACAGCACAACTTGTTCAAACCAAGTACAAAGAAATGATGGAACTTCTGAACCTGTAAGTGTCTTCTTAAAATCATTTAGATATATCCTATGCTCAGTCATCATCTCCTACTTCACTCAACAAGGCATCCACACTCAATGAGTCATCTCCTATATTCCTTTTCTAACACACCCGACACGTCATTGCAAAATCCAGTGTAGACAATCTGTGCACTGTTGCCAGGTGAATGCACCATTCCAAACTTCCATATCACCTATCACTGACTTACCTTGTCATGATACAAGTCGGTTTCTTGTCCATGGATTCAACTTGGGTGGTAAGCCTCCTCTAAACACTATATTTACAACCCCCTAGCTGTGGTGAGGTGCGCTGTGCAGTACGGCATCAACATGCTGGACTCTGCTGCTGTGCTATGCTGGTGTCACTTTGCTGGATTTTGCTGACTTGCCGTTTAGCTTGTGACTATGCGGTATGCTGCTGCTGTGCTGTAACTACTCAAAGTACATGTATATGCTGCCACTAGGCTATAATATGGTGTTGCTGTTCTACATTATGGTGTTGATATACTGTATGATGCCCCTATGGTGTGTGACGCCGCTTAGCTGTATATTATTGATATCATTCTGCTGTATGATGTCACCATGCTGTATGATGCCGTGCTGTGCCATTGCCATACGTGTGATGCTTGTTTTATACCTGCTGTTGCTGCTGCTGTTGGTGATGATGATGCAGTAGTGGTAGCATAGTAGCAAGAGTACATAACCCCCAGAGTGTGCAACGCTGATCCAGCTCTGCATAGGGCCTTGGTCGAGCGGAATCGGATCTTCTGATGTCATGCGTACACTCCACACCAGCGCAAGGCCGGTCTCGAGGCAGGGCACCATTGTTTTTGATCCGAGAGTCCCCGCGACTCCCCGGGTTCCCCTGAGATGTGTACGGTATTATGCCGCAAAGATCCGATTCCGCTCGACCAAGACCCTATGCAGAGCTGGATCAGGCGTTGCACACTCTGGGGGGTTATGTACTCTTGATAGTAGTGATGGTGCTACTGATGTTGGTGATACATGTACTTTATGTTTTGCTGTTGCATGAGTTTGCCAGGATCTGTTTGTGTTTGTCCTGTTCTATCCATATCTGCACACAGTCATGACGAACGTCTTTTTGACGATTGGGCAAAGGATGTGTCTGACATTTCCACAGCAAATCTAGAGAATCCTCTTCTCCTCCGTAACGCGGCTTCAAAGCTCCTCAGTGTCAACTTCAACCCACAGGTATTGCATTGCTGTACATGTATAGTCCTGTGTAGGCTACTATAAATAAAAAAATAAATTCGACGGGTTCGCGTACCGGGCAGGTCAAGAACAAGGAGTCGTACAACTCCCTGGTCAAGAACCACCTTTCCGCTTAGTAGGCTACTATCCAGGAGCTAAATTGCATGTACCTACTTGTAGTAGATAGGATGGTCATATCATCCACCGTAACTACCAGCCACTATAAATAGAGCCACCATGGCTATCAACTGCCATGGCTAGAAATTATTTTTTAGACAATGTGGACATTGGACATTGTCTAGAAAAATTCTAAAGTGCAGTAGAAAAATGCAGTTGTGGTCTTCGAAATTGTATTTTGCTGAAAACATGTGAGTGACATAGAAAAACTCTTTGCAAAAGGCCAAGTACACACATCTAGACCCTTGCATCACACATGGGCAGTGTGGACTGCAACGTGCAGCTGGACCTTGGGCTTTTTCACCACAACTCTCTCAACACTCGAAAGGGGAGATGTTGTCCGTCATGATTGTCTGAAGCTATTGTCTGTGTTGCGGTTGACTTCACTCCTTAGTACTTTTGACTGGCTTTTCATACAATACCTATTGATGTCTAGAGACATACTGTCTAGCCTTCCCCTGGTGCGCTTATTGATACACTCTCCAGCTGTCCAGCGGCTCTCCTTCCACAGCTCTCTATCTCGCTATACTCTTCTTCACACTCTATAAGTTCGTGTCTTCTTTACAATAAAATCAGTTCAGTGACCTTACGGGTTTGAAATCACAACAATAACTACTTGTACAATAACTACTTGTATGCGCTATGTTTTCATTGTGTGCATGTTGTATGCACAGTTGGTGGCTGTCCTACGCGAAGTGAAGTATTTGAACATGAGGCTGGATGTGGATGATGAATCGCAGACCATTCCGGACATAGCACAGGGAATCTACGCGAAGAATGAAGTGTACCGGCGCTATCTGCGTAACTTGGACTTGATCGTACAGTGGTACAACAAGGTATGGGAACACATGATTCAATGGAATAGAACAAACTTGCTTTAATTAATAATTATCATACTTGTATATCACCACTGTGCTGACTATACTGTTGCACTGCAGCGTCAGTGCAATATCAGTGCAGTATCTATCGGCGCAGCATCAATGCAGTATCAGTGCAGTATCAATGCAGTATCAATGCAGTATCAGTGCAATATCAATGCAGTATCAGTGCAGTATCAGTGCAGTATCAATGCAGTATCAATGCAGCATCAATGCAGTATCACTGCAGCATCACTGCAGCATCAATGCAGTGCGGATGTAGTATCAGTAAAGCATCTGGCAAACATCTGGCAAACAGTTAGCTAGCGCAAGGGTTTACACAGTCTGTAAACTTCAGCCACAGCTATGTACCATGGTTGCCTTATCTTCATCTACATGGGTTGCCTGAAGATTGCCATAGGCCGCATTACCCTACTCTCGCGGCGGTAGTAGTAGTAGCAACAGACTGTACAGTACTGTTGAGTGCCGAAGACCTCGGGTGTCAGCCTCCTAGCCTCCTAGCCTCCTAGCCTAGGCCGTTCTTATTCCCATGTTCGACGATCTATGCATTGTCGAGTCACCATTGGTATGCTGTGCTTGGGGGAAATCCTAGCCGGTTTGTTCTTCGGCACCTGACAGTGGACCTGATTCTGTGTGGTAATGTCCCTCCTCAAATGTTCGATAAAACCAATAAATTGATTGTTAGTGTTATTGATTAATCGTTAACAATTTACGGAATGATCGTTTCAGCCCTATGTGCTCGTGCGTGCCTCAGCATGTTTAAAATTTCATAGTAAATTTAGTCAGTTCCTGTGATCTTTCAACATTATTCAAGAGCTGGGTTCCAAACAGCGCATGTATGCGGCATGCACATTACGCGTGCCTGCGTGAGCACTTGCACCTACACCGGTGCACTATTGCTCCAGTGCTACCTGAGTGCAGTCAATGACTATGTGATCATGGGCGGTGAGGATGACAGACGGCATGGCAGCAGGCCTCATGCTGTGTTTACATTTTCAGCATGACTGTATGGAAAATTCAAAATTGTCACTACATGTATAATTATGCATACCTAAAACTAAAGAAACCGAGTAGATCTACATGTCAGACCTCACTATTTAGTATTACGTAATCTCTGCCCGGCAGGGTATGGCTTTGTACCATATACGGTGTAGGTTCTGAAAAAGCGTCGACACAATAAAGTCCGCCGTGGACCATAGGAGCTAGCTGCACAGCCGGAATTGCATGCTCTTGTTTATGTACTAGCACTCTTGGAATTGGAGGCTATGCGAATGATGTCGTTGGGTGAGTCAGCGGAATCGTTAATGGGCGCTAAGTATAACCTCACAGCGTGAGTCGACGGATGCGCTAATGCAGCAATGGGCGCAATGTAATAGTTGAATGTACTTCGAAGTATGCAACGCAAGTCGCTAGTGCAGGTGCAACACTGCGCCGCGACTTTGCCAAATCATCATAAATCCATTAATTAACTTGGGCAATTTTTGCTCACTTTATGTACGGAACACCAGTGCTTTTCTGGAAGCATTCGTGCATCCAAGTTTGTGACCATATGCAGATTTGGACCATATTTGTACATTATTACATTCCATGGCATGCCATGTATACACAATTGTGTAGAATTATTGAGTATTTCCACAAGGTCTGGTTCTGTAGTCCATAAGTATCTCACAATAACCACACTGAATACACATGTACATCGCAGAGTCGTTTAATCAAATCCAGCAAATCCGGAATTCGTGCAATTTTCCGACTCTCCAGCCGTGCATCCACAGCCCCCCTCCTCGTGCGCTTATCTATTCGATCCCTAACTCACATTTTTAACTACAAGGTTTTGTTTTTTGTTTTCCGTTGCCTACATGATCTTGCAAGTCCTCTTTTCTGCACCTACTTTCAGTTGATGGCTAACACAGGCCAAGCATCCCGGGATGATCGCCGAATTACTCGAGGACAGGAGCAGCGGCTACTGCAAGTGCCTTTCCTTCCTGGACCTTCCGGTCGTCAGTCATTGACATTTGTGGGAAGCACTCTTTGGAATGCCCTTCCCAGCGATATTCGCCTCCACAGTGCGGCGGTTGCCTTTAAACTGGCTCTGAACAGAATTAATTGTAATTTGTAACCACCTTGCTCGGCATCCCTAAACATTACTGCATGTGTTCTCGGTGTTTTCTTCACTGCATGCTTACACATACACACACCCATTTGAATTATATACAAACTTTGTGCTTTGGAATTATCATGTTATGATTCTTTTTAATATTTCCTTCTCTCATAATATTATATTCGTTCTTAGCAGGAACCGGAGGTTTTTCCTCTGGTGAGAAGGCAGAATTGCCTGTGCTCTAAACGAATTCAAATAAAAGGAAAAACAAAAAACAAAACATGTATAACAATACACCTACTTCTTGAGTAGAGTATGTGGGCTGGGAGTCGGTCTCATTATCAGAACAAGGAGGAGGTTTCTACGCTGGCGAAGCCTGCGCTCTTGTTCGCACCCCAATGACGGAGAAGTCGACAATGTCGAAACCCCAGAGTCAACAGTCAGCTCCTACTCTGTAGCTTGACCTGTCGACTCATCCATCACCTCTCTGTCATCGTCTTTTTAGTTCCATGTGATGATAGCCCCTGACTAACTACGATGTACTAGTAGCTGCTCTCGAGCCACCAACTTTGACGGTTTTAGCACCTCATCGACGGAGTATCCAGAGCAATTTCGTCCATGTGAGTGACAGTCTGCTATGCTCCTCCAGACATCAGCGTCTTCGCTGTACGTACAATCGAGTGAAGCACCATTGATCATTTGAAGTGAGGCACAAGGTAAGAAGCCTCTCAGGTTCAAACAAAAATCAAGAACAGCCGAGTTCTTCTCCACGATTCGCGAGTGAATGCTGCACTTCGCACACATTTTCAACACCTTTGCCAGGCTTATCTCAATATCTGCCTCCATACTACTACAGTCAGTATCGCCTATAGCGTTGGTGTTTGATTTTGAGCATTTTATCACTATAAGCGATATATTACTATGACCGATACTGCATGCAATGTATGCGAGTGGGGTGTCAAACGACTCAGCGCGCCGTGCACATACGCACTACATACATGTACATGTACAATGACATGTAGCTGGCTGTAGCTCCTGACACACAAAATCAGGATTTCCTCATGATGGAGGCATATTTTGGCAACTTGTACAAGCAAAACTCACCAAACAACACTCACTGGACAAGTTCTTCACGAAGAAGTAACACCCTGTTCTCCTCTGACATCGCTTGATTTCACATCAATCACTATAACCGATGCAAAAATAGTGTAATAAACGTCTTTTGAAATATGAATTTGATCACTATAGGCGATATATTACTATAGACGATTATTACTATACGCGATAACTGTGTATACTTAGTTATGGCAAATGAAAATGAATTAGAGAAATTGATCACTATATCCGGTATATTACTATAGCCGCCAACCTTATAGGCGATACGGACTGTACTAGTACTACGTACTAGTCCTAGTCCTACTCCGCCTAGCCGGCCTAGCAGCTGCTGAGTGAGTGGAGCGGGAAGTAGTTTGAAAGTGTGCCTGCGCTATCCTAGTAAAAGTACTACATGTACTAGTATGCACATACGTAGACTCTACTCACGTGAGCTCGCTGATTTCGCGGGGGCATGGCAAAAGCCAGCTGTTCGCGCTAGGGTCGTCGTTCGGCGGCAAATGCAAACAGCACGAGTGTTGTAGCAAGTGCAGTAGCGAAGTACAAGTCAAGAGAGAAAGTAGTTTCGCTGCGCAGAAAGATAGGTGATTCAAGCACTTCTTCATTAGTTGTGGACGTCGGAAAAAGTAACATTTAGTTACGCTAGTTGAGAGCTTGTATTATTATGTTTACGGCTATCGCAAAAAGTCAAACGTTTGAGTACACATGTCGCTGAAGAATTTCGAAAATTATTCAAATAATTAGTGTGCTAGCAATGGACGATGTTTGACAGCATCATGCATCTGGGCAGAGAACCAAGAGCTCGGTCGTCGCTGATGTTAAACACAGGCTCCGAGGGTATTGGTTGCAAACTCTGTCGAAGGCGACATGTTGAGAAGATGCTGGTATGCGTAAAGTGGGGTATGTACAAGTAGCGTGAACATTGCTTTGTTTTCATGATTGCATAGTAGCGCCGCTAGGTGCTCGGACATTTCTGGTGTCAAAATGCGATCACTTGTACTCTTTTCCAACACAAAAATATCGCTTTTGATTGTACAGTGCAGATTGGATATAACGACACTCTTCCCGGAGAAAACAAAATATCACTAAACCCGATCTTCACAATCTTAGTGTGCAATACTAGTACAGTGTGTATCAACAATAAACGTGTGGACATTGGGAGAAATATGTATCAAAAGGCCAGAAATTTATTGCAGATGTGTACGTATACGCGTATGTGCATAATGTTATGTATAATGGATTGCAGATGTGCATGAAAAGGTGTCATGCATGCGTAGCTTAAGCCAAACGTCATGCACAACTGCCACAGCAACTACACCGCTGCACTGCGGCATGTACATTGTGCTTCTGCTTTGCTGTGAACGGTGTACAGCACACATGGACCGGCCTGGAGATCCTCGCACGTGACACAGCCATGTTACACGCATGCCAGTATTGGTTGGAATTTTGGTCTGTCCGAAGAGTGCAAAAAGGGTGTTCTGGAACTAGCTAGTTTAAATCTTATCCTAACATTTTGATCGCGATGTTCCCTGTTTGCCACTGTTGCTATTTTCAACACTGCTCCTGCTACTTCTGCTGCTGCTGGTGCTGCTGGTATCATTGTTGTTTATTTTGTTTCTAGGTCCGGGAAACGGTGTTGGACGTTGAGTTTCCATTGATTGAGAAACAGCTACAAAGTGTAGACAATCAGCTGGAGCGTGCTTTGACCTCACTTTGTTGGACAAGTGAAGGTAAGTTTCGCTGTGCACATGCGTTTCTGTGTGTTTATAAGAATATGATCGAGTGTACTGCCAGTCCACTTTAAGATTTGTGTTCTTCACTTGTGATGACAGTACGGCCATGTTACTTGGTGTGTGTGTGTGTATATGTGTGTGTGTGTATATGTGTGTGTGTGTGTGTGTGTGTGTGTGTATATGTGTGTGTGTGTGTGTGTGTGTGTGTGTGTGTGTGTGTGTGTGTGTGTGTGTGTGTTGTTCACATGTGTGTCTGTGCATGTGTGTATGTGTATCTGTGGGTGGGTGTCTGTGTATACTTGCATTACTAGATGCATGGGAGTATATTGAAAATACTCGAGAAGCTGTCCACAAACTGGAGCGCGATCTGCAGGCAACCAAGGACAATGTTGACAAGATCACTGTCTTGCTTACCAAGTGGAGTGTTTCACCACTTTTTGAACGTCATGAAGGTATGCCCGAAGCACAGCCACTGAGCAGTCACATGTACCATATTTACTGAAATGCGGTACTGTCGGGCGCTGAAGAACGGAGTGCCGTAGAACGGACAGGCTAGAATTTCACCAAGCACAGCATACCAATGTACACGCTGTGACTCAACTGTACATAGACTGTAGTATATGAGAATAACAAAGGCCCAGGCTACAGGGCTGACCCCCCCCCCCCCCCCAAGTTCTTCGGCGACCGCCTGTACTGTATATCCCTCGGTAGCTGGGAATACCTACTGCCACTGTGGGCTACATTTGTAGCGCGGTGATATCCGCTAGCAAGGCTTATACATTTCCATTTGAAGGATACATACCCAATTAGCTACTTCTGCCGGGCTGAATGATCTCTTGTTTAAAACGATCCCTTGATGGATGCCTTGATGCCGTCAGTACTTTTCCCCGCCTTATTCTCATCCACTTACTGCAGTGTGTGAGCTCATTAGTGGGGTCATGTCCAAGTCCACCAAGAGTTTGGGGATTCAGGTGGCGTCACAACTGGGCGGTTCAATAGCTAATTCAGTAATTGTGTCATCTTTCCCAGGTTCGATTGAAACGTGACCAGTTTCTGGCAGTGGGCAAGTGCATATACAAATACACGTGTGTAGGTTTGAGGTGGAGGAGAGGAGAGGAGAGGTAATCATCAGTCCATTGCTATCTTTGCTCGAGTACATGCTGAACTCTTTGTTATGTGTACTGTGTATTGTGTATTGTGCCCTGCACTTCAGGCAAGAATAACACCTTGATTATCTTGGAAGACCGGGAGAACCGCCTGAATGCTCGCAGTGATCTTATCACAAAAGATAGTGCTGCTATTCATGACCTTATCAAGGTGAGAGAGAGACGGAGAGAGAAGGAGAGAGACAGAGAGAGAGAGAGAGGGGGGAGGGGGAGAGAGGGAGGGAGAGAGGGAGGGAGGGAGAGGGTAATGGAGAAGTCCTTCTTTGTGTTGATGTACATGCTATACGCTGCATGTGTAAACTGTACAGGTACTTATTTTGGGCAGTAGTATGTACTGCAACAGACATTTTGGGTAGTATGTACTGCAACAGACATTTTGGGTAGTATGTACTGCAACAGACATTTTGGGTAGTATGTACTGCAACAGACATTTTGGGTAGTATGTACTGCAACAGACATTTTGGGCAGTAGTATGTACTGCAACAGACATTTTGGGTAGTATGTACTGCAACAGACATTTTGGGCAGTAGTATGTACTGCAACAGACATTTTGGGTAGTATGTACTGCAACAGACATTTTGGGCAGTAGTATGTACTTCAACAGACATTTTGGGCAGTATGTACTTCAACAGACAGAGTCAAAAGGTTGAACGGGTATTCATTTAGGGCAAGTACCTATTTACAGACGTTTACTGTGTTCCTTCTTGCCTGTTTCTTGATGTCCAGAAAAATCTTGAGCTGTTCAATGCTAGCGAGGACTGCGCAGAATGGAGACGTTATCTACAGTATGTAGATGATCTTATAGTCGATGGATTCTTTAACAGCATTGATAAGTCCATCTCCTTCTTTCTGGAGCACACCAGTTCTGAAGGACTATCTGACGGAGCATGTAAGTCGATGCCTTGTTTGCAGCTAACCCCACTAACCCAGCAAATGACCCCCCCCCCCCTCTCCTATAGATATCTTCTATGTGCCCTGGCAGACTATGGGGCTAATACACCGCCAATGTAACGTGACGCCTAGCCTGTTCACTGCTAACGTTAGAACATGAGGCAAACCAGTGCTTTCACCACTTCATTAGTTCGGTTCGCGTCTGAAGCCTCGATGGGGTAGACAATGGATAGGGATGTCCTCCCTGATGCAGTTAGTCCATGGTGCAGAGGTGATATCTTGCTGGATTGCCATAGCAGCAGCTGCTATAGCCATGCTAGGTAGCCTGGGCTATAGCAGCTGTATTCTTATGGTCTGCTAATGCCAATGATGTATGTCTCTGGCATTCTGACCTGTGTGCTCATACATTATAATATCTGTTTCTTTACTGTGCATGACTGTGTGTAGCCCGTACACCACTGTTTGAGGCGAAAATGGAGCTCATTCAACCCAGCATCGTCTTCACACCAGAACTGGAGGCTAACTCTCAACAGACGTCTGCATCTGGTAGTTTCTTTGATCTGGTCGATGGCCTTGTTCAGGACATGTTCAAGCAGTGCTCTTTGTTTGCACGTATTGCACCTCATCTCGAGAACAGCAGTTATCAGGTGAGGCATTCTGATAGGACAATGTACACCCAATGTACATGACGGAGTGTATATGACTGATTGTATTGTGTTGGTATTTGATATGGGCGAGAGGTTCCTAATGCCTCCTGAATGTCTTTACGGGTACCAGTGACTACTGAGCAAATATTCTACGTTTTTTACCTTGTTATTATATGGAAGCCACTTAGCAACCCCGCACTTGGTCCTATGGGTGCGCTGTGGATGCAATCACCCACATCGTACCCTAACTTGGGATGGTATTGGTAAACAATGGTGACTACAGGCCCTCTATCAGCGTTGATGTGTTTCTCCTGCTCCACAGTCCTACCACTACTGGAGCAATATGTCATGTCTGTGTCACACAGTCTTTTCCAACATCGGTATTTTCCCCACTATGACAAGCATATGTGTATTTCCCCATCCATGGGTGTGCATGTTATCACAGCTCTGTCAAGGATCTGTGCAGGGCAGGTTTGCTGATGGCCATGATTTTTTCTAACACTCTGTAAACGCTCTGTAACTGCTAAGTGTGCCCGTGTTGTGTTAATGCTCTGTGTGTGTGTGTGTGTGTGTGTGTGTGTGTTTTGTGTTGTATTGTGTACGGCGTTGATGTTGTGTGCTTGCTGTTTGTAGAGTGACGTGGAAGACATCCTAGAACTAAGTGACAAGCGCAATGAGTTGATGGAACGTGTCAATATCGCTAGCCAAGCTGGGTACGTTACACTGTACAGACTGGACTATGCTGTCTTAGGACCACACAGTGTGTTTGCTAGTACAGGACTGCTACTGGTGTTGAAGTGATTTTACACACTAACACATTTTCCGGAGTATAAGTCACGCTAGAGTATATGCCGCACCCAGATTTGTTGTCACGAAATACAGACATCTACCTTTTTTTATCACCGTTAATTTGACCATAGTAGTATAAGCCGCACCGACTTTTTGTGGTTGAATTATGAGTGTTTAAAGTACTTCCTCCGTTAACAAAAACTTCGTGTTGGATTTTGACGGATATGAAAACGCTTTGAACAGGTCAAGAACAGTTTGTATCGACTGCAAATCACTGGACGAAGGTAGTTCAGCCTACGTACAGCGTCTTTACGAGTAAAACTGTTGGCGGAATGAGCAGAAAGTTCAGTTTGCATCGCTTTCCCTCGTCTCATTTTTGACCCTGCGTTGCTGTCGTCATCTGCTGCACGCGAGTCATCATCTCTCTCGAGTCGTTGTTCAGCTCGTTTCAGCCTTGCCTCGGCTTCTTTGATTACACTCCACGGGACTTGATGTCGCCGTCGTTCAAGTAAGTTGGCTTTCAAGCTGCGTGATCCGCAGCGGTGGCGATTACTCGTTTCCAACAGGGAGTCGTAAAACTATTTTACGACTCCCTGTTTTCACCTTTGCTCTCCAGAACTCCGCGAAACAAAAATGCACAGCCGCCGCCAAACTGATTCCGTTTTCTCTAATGGATACTCCTGCCAGCACTGAACGGCAGCAGCTAGCAAGTCCAGTCGACTTTCTTTAGCCACGAGACTTGCGTCGGACTGCAGACTTCTGAACGAATGCATGGCCATCACCATTCGAATCTGAGCTTTGCGCAAGTTAACAAGAACTTGAATTCAGAACTATTTCATTGCGCCATGCGATCAGAGCAGCTCCTTGTTCACTCGCTCATTGTGTGGGCTTGCTGCTCCCTTCCATCGCTCTCTATCACTCTCAAACTCCATTCTAGAGTAGTAGAGAGACCAAGCAGCTCATTATCCCCTCGGAGAAGTGGTATTTCAGTTTCGCTCACCATGACTGTCATCACCTATGTTGCCACAGTGCAACCATTGATTCCGCTTGGCTAGTTGTGAAAGGTCGCTTTCCTTGCATCGAACCTCTTTCATGGCATGCCAGGGAAGGCCAAGAAAGTGATCGCGACTCATTTCACGGCAGTTTGTGCGCAAACCAGTCCCCCAAAATCCATCACGAAGTTTTTGTTAACGGAGGAAGTACGGCTTATACTCCGGAAAATACGGTTTTTATTGCATGTACCTAAAAGGAAAGGGGTAAGCAGCAACATTCGGCCCAGTGTGCATCTTTTTTGTCAACCACCACACTATAACTGCGCTCTCTAGCTGACCTCGACACGACATTGCCACAGCTCACCATCAGCAAGCGACACATCCTGCTGGAGAGCGCTGGAGCTCTCCACTGGCACTGGAGCTGGAGAAAGCAGTTGTGGTGTGGTGGGTGACGAAATATACCTAAAAAAAGGGAGGGTGAAATGGTGTCTGATAATGGCGTTCTTGGATTTTTGGTCGCGAGTGCAAAGTTCAAGTCCAGCAGATGAAGATCAAGTACCTGGGGATCAACTACCTCTTTAGAAACATTTTAGAAGCATACTGCTACAGCAGGCTGTAGAGCACGTCCATCTCTTTGCATTACCTGCTCTCGGTCCGGAGTCCACTCTTAACCCACTGCTGAACTTTGCATTTCCGACACCCCTGGCAGTGGCTTGGCCAGCAGCTGTATTCAGCAAATTTTCATGTTCAACCTCAAACAGCAGGTATGCAGCAAACAGCACGTTGCATCGAGTAGTTTTAAAAATGTAAAAACCATTTAGACTGGGAACTGTGTGACTTGTTTCTCAATTGTGGCATTGATAATTTTTTCACTGTTTGCACTTGTGTGTGCTCGTGGAAACTTTATTTGCAGCTGTGAATATCGTGACACCTTTGAAAAGTACCATTATCTCTGGAAGGACGATCGCTCCGACTTCCTCTCCACCTTCCTGCAGTACGGCCGAATTCCCACACAGGAAGAGATTGACCAAGCTGGTGATGAAGGTTTGCCAGCGCAGAAGCCAACTCTTAACCAGTTCAAAGAGCAAGTAAGTTTACTTCTTGCAATCCGACGACAGGCGTTAGTCTGATTTTGCTAGTTTGGCAGGATTCTAGTGACAAATACACTGTTTCTGCCGTATGGTCTACATGTGTGATGTGAATGCATGAACTTATCAATTCATGAATCCAAGACGTGTGTTTCAGACCTCCCCTAACTAACTTGATATCAATAACAAACTAGTTATCCTTCTATACTCTCGTCAGCCAGTATCATATTTTTTAGTGATACAACAAGGAGTAGTTGTGTTTCATAGTGCTGCATCATATTATGGGCCGCGGTCACTATATCAATGCCTGAGTGTTGTTCAAACACTTACCCCTGTGGATGTGTGTGTGTGTGTGTGTGTGTTTCTGCGCAGGTGGACAAGTATGAAAGTCTGTATACCGAAGTGTCCAAGGAGATGCCAAGCACTAAGTCACTGGAGAATGGCTGGTTCAGAATTGATACTAGTCCGTTCAGAGCTGCACTGCTCAACAACATCAAACATTGGAGTTTCCTCTTCAAGCAGCATCTTGTGGATCATGTGACATGCAGGTTAGTACCCGGCAAGTTGCCTATAATAAGATCGGGTGCCGAAGAACATGTCGCCGAAGAACATTTAGGCTGTGGCCGTTTTTCCCCGTCACTATCTTGCTTGTGTCCTATCCACCCCCCCCCCCCCCCACACACACATAGAGGCGAGGGAAGCCCCCGGACTGTTCCTCAGCCCCAAAATGATTTACTTGTGTTAGCTTAGCAAGCCGGTTAGCTGATGATGGTGGAAAGCAGACTGTTCCATTAAAATTCATGTAAAAAATTGAAGAAGAAATGACCATTGTTCTTATGTATCTACCCATCCATTTGTGTTGCATCCATCCATCCATCCGATTGCTCTCTATTCTACGTTGAATAGGCCAAGTTGCTTCATCTCAAATCTCTGCCTTTTTCTTGTGTGTGTGTGTGTGTGTGTGTGTGTGTGTGTGTGTGTGTGTGTGTGTGTGTGTGTTTAGCTTGAATGATTTGCGTGATTTCATGCAAGTGACTAATGCTGGTCTTGGCGAGGAAGTGCTGGAAGGCAACTATGATGCACTGGTAGACTGCATGGCACATCTCGGTGCTGTGCGTAGGAGAATTCCTGACACGGACAGTATGTTTGAACCACTCAAACATACCATTGACTTGCTGAAAACGTACCAGCAGGAGATGAGCGAGGATGTTCATCAGCTTCTAGAGGTAAGTTGATGTGTGATTGATTCCTTCTCCATACATGCTATGAAACATTTCTCATTCTAAAGACAGGAGAGTCCGTTACTTTCCCCACACAATAAGTATTTTTAGGTGCGTAGCCCGCACGGGGCAAAGCGGACACATGCACCCCCCCCCCTCCCTCCTGAAAATTTCGACCTAGGTTCAGCATGCACATAATGACCATGAATGACATGTACCAGCCATCCTACACATATGTGACCATGCACCCCCCCCCCCCCTAACAGGGGTACCAGCTACGCCCCTGATTTTGATGTGGCATACATATTCTCCATTGGTCATTTTGAGATGAATTATGAGAAATGATGTTTGCTGACTCTCTCTCTCTCTCTATCCTTTCATCTCTCTCTCTCTCTCTCTCTCTCTCTCTCTCTCTCTCTCTCTCTCTCTCTCTCTCTCTCTCTCTCTCTCTCTCTCTCTCTCTCTCTCTCTCTCTCTCTCTCTCTCTCTCTCTCTCTCTCTCTCTCTCTCTCTCTCTCTCTCTCTCTCTCTCTCTCTCTCTCTCTCTCTCTCTCTCTCTCTCTCTCTCTCTCTCTCTCTCTCTCTCTCTCTCTCTCTCTCTCTCTCTCTCTCTCTCTCTCTCTCTCTCTCTCTCTTACGCACACACGCACACACACACACACACACCTTTCCTCCCTCTTACAGGAGTTACCAGAGCAATGGTCGAACACCAAGAAGATTGCCTCCACTGTCAAGCAAAACGTTGCCCCGTTGCAAGCTAACGAAGTCAATCTGCTTCGCCGCCGGTCTGCAACATTTGATGTAAGTGAACGACTTGGAGGCTGAGATGGTCCTGTATACGAGTACACACAGTTAATCCGGTGATCGTGTATACACATACACCACATCAAATGATGGGCATTCATATGCACACCATGTGCAATGGACAAACTTAGGATAATGTGTTGAGGCCGGACCGAAGTAGCATGGATGAACGCAAACACTCTTCACTGCTGTAGTGTGTGTCCTTACACATACCCTCTCCATTGCTGTGAATGTCCAGAGTGAATTTTTTTGTGTGGAAGTGCTAGTAGCTTTACTCGTACACCCCTAGCTAGAGTCTCATCCTCCTAAAATGTTCTTTCTGTCCAGTGAGGACTACTGTGTGGTATATATTGGTTGCTAGCAGAATATCTAGCTGAAACAACCAAATACGATGTAGCATAGAGCTAGTAGAGGTTCATCCTCCCACGATACTGACATTGGGCATGTCACGGGTATTGATCGGCCCTGTGGCCGACCTGGGGCCATACCACCTTTCAGGAGCTCGCTCCGGGCCTGATTTTCCACTGCTGTGTTGTGTGTCCTCACACATGCACTCTTCACTGCTGTGTTGTGTGTCCTCACACATACACTCTTCACTGCTGTCGTGTGTGTTCTCACACATGGACTCTCAAGTGATGTGTGTAGCCTAATGCATGAATTCTCCACTGTATAAATATCACACTACAACTGCACTCTCCAGTTGGCATCGACACGTTGCCACAGCACACCATCAGCAAAGCGACACATACGTTGGTACTCAGTTCCTTCACACAGCTTCATACAGCTTCATACAGCTTCATACGTCAGGCGAAATTACTGGTCTGTCGGCGACACGCATTTTTCACAAAAAAATTGCGTTTCACCTGCTGGGAGAGTATGCGTGTACTCCAGTCTCATCCTGAGCACGTTTTTTTCTTCTTTTTTTCAGCTCCAGTATAGCTGTATTTTTCATTGCAAAGCCGTCCTCGATTGTTGTGTTCGTTGTTCAAACGAAGTGGACATTCAATCTTGAAGGCAGAGGACATAGGAGCCTGATTGGAGTTTCTCGTGGCATAGGACGGCCACACAGAGACACTTTGGGATTTTCTGAATATAAAATACCGTACGCACGATGCTGAGATCAATTTGTGCGATATCAAATTGTTTGTGATCTACCACATCGAGCAGAACGGGATCCAAACACACGCTTACCGACGGTTAGGCTGCCGACCTGACTGGACAAATGATCCCTGGCTTCACCGGACGCCAGAAGTCGGACACCATGTCCTTTGCCACGACGTCCATCTCCAAAAAGAACTCCATCTTCGTCGTGAAAAGGCTTGAAATACTCAATATTCAACCGAGATCCGCGGACTCGCGCTTTCTCGGATCGATTAATTTCCTGTTGGAACAGTTGCAGGGCACCTTCCCCCCACTGTTTCAACAGGCGATGGCTCCAAAGCATGCCTGGAACAAGCCATATCGAGGTTGCAAGCCACCCCTCTCAGCAAAAAATTCGAAGAAATTCGAAATTTCAATGGTGGAAGATATACTATGAAGAGAATTTCAAAAAGTATGTTTCGCGGAGCGATCGCTCAACCTACGTCATTCAAACTTTGCAGGATGGTTCAGACGTACATGCTAGGCATGGAACCACAGGCGATGATGCCATAGCTGACACACAGAGTAACACACACAGCAGATTCGTGTGCACAGATACTAAATTAGTGGACGTCGTCATCTTCTTCCCGCTGATCTCGAATGTACTATGACGTGCTATTTCGCCTGACGCAGAGAATTCACACCTGGCTATTGTCACTATCATGACGTATTACCACTTTTAAAAGTTATCCCAAGTTCAGTTTTTCACAGTATTTTGCACTTGGTTCATTACCTTAGCCCTAATCTTCACGCCTCAGGTACACATTATGCTTCCCCCTTTCAGTACAAAAGTGTGAGTTTCACTATCTATTAGCCAGTCTGCAATATCTACCTTCACTGACCAGATTTGTTATACTTTAAACAGCTGTATGAAGGAATTGAGTGCCAACGTATGCGTCGCTATGCTGATGGTGGCAACATGTCTAGGTCGGCTGGAGAGTGCAGTTGTTGCGCTGTGGTTGATGGAGAAAAAGCCATGATGGTGTAGTAAATACTTAAAAGTAGTTACCGATGGTGTAGCGCAGGATTCGGATCTGTCGATCTGTTGATGGGCTCTCAATGTGTGGAGATGTTCAAGTGTAGTGCACTGCTGGCATATTCTAAGGTTTTATGCGCGAGACTAGGTTCTGTCTATGCCCTAGAATTGTTTTGATGACTGACCCTGGGTGATTTCTGATATTTTTCAACATGACTTCATTGACCTCGATTGGCCTGACAATGCATACACACTTCTCCCCCCCCCCCCTTCCCTCTGTCACTTTCCAGGTGAAACAACACGAATTCCGTGAGCATTTCCGTTCATCTGCGCCTCTGCGATTCACTGATGAAGAACCATATGATCGCCTAGATCTGGTAAGTGCTGATTGTGTGCAGTGTGTGTAGGGTGCAGTGTGCAGGGTGCAGCAGTGTACATGTACAATGATTGTGCTGCCACTTGAGGAGTAACTTATGATGAGTGTGTCTCCTTCTTTCCATCTTGCATTTAAGTGGGGTTTAACTGCTTGTTATCATCTTATTTCATTGCTTTCTTTCTTGTTGCATACTGTGCTGGACAGTGGAATAGCAAGATTGATGAGATGGAGACGGAAATGACTGAGATCTGCAATGCTGCAGGTCTCTTTGAAGTCAACCTACCTGACTTCAGACAGCTCAAGTCTTGTCGACGCGAGGTATGTATATAGCATGCTACTGTTTTCTGATATCTCTGAGCAGAGCATGGATGCGTATGCTGTACGTGTGTGTATGTGTGTGCACGCGTGTGTGCGTGCGTATTTCTGGGTGTACGTGTGTGCGTGCGTATTTCTGGGTGTATGTGTGTGCGTGCGTATTTCTGGGTGTACGTGTGTGTTGTAGTTTTTTCACCACCAGTGTACTTTTCACTCGGCCTTACACTTTCAAACAAGACGTGATGAGGGTGGCAGAGGGGATTGTTAATCTCTGGTCACATGATTTGTTTGTGTTTGCATAGTGAAGCCGCTGTACAAACAACAAAGTCTACAATAATTTACAATGGTTGTGTTATGGCCAATTGATTTATTTGTCTTGGTTGCCGTGGTGTTAATAGGTGGGTTTGTTGAAGACTCTCTGGGACCGTGTCTTCCTGGTTCAAACATCCTTTGCCGACTGGACCAAGACACTATGGCGTGAAGTCAATGTGGAGCAACTTGACATGGACAGCAAGAAGTTTGCTAAGGACATTCGAGGCTTGGACAAGGAAATGCGTGCATGGGATGTGAGTGTCTGAATATTCGGGTGTTTACTCAATACAAGTGGTTGACCATTGTATGCAGAATATTAGCATAAGATGTGGGCACCTGAGTTGTTTGCTGTAGTGCTGCGAATGAATGAGGCAAAGAGGGAAAATAATTTGTGATGCCAATAAACATTTCACCCCCCCCCCCTTGAATTCACTAGACTGGAACCAAAGCAACTGAGTTTATGTTTGCAGAATGGCATTGTGTGACGTTATGTTTACCCACTCTGGAGCAATATACTATTTCACAACAACGCATTACACAGATATTTAGGTGAATGGTGTGTGGAGGGGGTCTACTTAGGGGAGGAATTTTGACACAGATTTGCGTGCGTGTGTGCGTGCGTGCTTGGGTGCGTGCGTGCATGCATGTGTGGTGTGCACACATGCTATTTGTGCTGATATGTGTACTATTCAATATCTTGCTGCACAGGTATTCTCTGGCTTGGATGGCAGGGTGAAGAACATGGTGACATCTCTACGTGCTGTGGGTGAGCTGCAGAACCCTGCTATCCGTGAGCGTCACTGGCAGCAGTTGATGCAGGCAACCAAGGTAAACTAGCGTTCCTGTGAAGGCATTTGATCTGCCTGGGCCGGGGTGTGTGCTGCCGTCTCCCTTAGGCCCGACACTGCACAGTAGTGTGATGGTGCAGGTACATTAGAGTCGCGCGCTGAAGAACGTGGAGCCCAAGAACGTCCAGCCTGAAATGCTAAGAACTCCACAGCCTAAAGCTAAGAACGGCAGTGTTGGTTTTCCGTCGGCCTTTGGGATACATATGATCCAGTACGAATTGTTTCTAAGAACGTGCTATAAGAACGCAGCCGGATTGCAGAAAAATAAGAACGTCCCAGGCTAAACCCTTGGAAACAACGTTGTTGGACGCGCGACCCTACTGTACATGCACAGACTGCTGAAATGACGCTGCAGTAACATGCATTGGCTTTTCCATTCCATCAACTAGTGAATAATTGATGATTTTGATGTTCTTTGTGATTACCTAGTCCTCGTAAGTTGACTATGTGCCGTTCTAATCTGTACTGTGGTCTCTGTAGGTGAAGTTTGTCATGTCGGATGAAACAAATCTCGATGATTTGTTGAAACTGAACCTGCACAACTTTGAAGATGAAGTTCGTGGCATTGTGGACAAGGCAACTAAGGAATTGAACATGGAGAAGGTAACATATTGCGGCTTCACAATTCTCTCGATGACATTAGCTTGAGTGCCATTGCAAAGCAGTAATGCATGCCCACTGCCTGCATTCTCTTTACTTCTCTTTATTTACTTCTCTTTATGTGCTTCTCTGGTACACTGTGTGGTTGGGCCATGGTTTACTTCTACAAATTGTGTAAAGCTGCTTCTTGCACGCAGTTTCATCAGCATACTGCTATATTGATACTCCGAAGTACTAGGTATGATCGGGTGGATTGTGCATCCTTATCATGCTGGTACGTCTCTTGCATGCATGTCCGTATGCATGCATATATGTACGTGTGAATGTCTGTATGCATTCTTGCCTGTATGCCTATATTCATGCATGCCTGTATGTTGGCTTCAGATCATTGGCGAGATGGAGGTTACTTGGGCGCAGATGGAGTTTGAACACGAGAAGCACCCTCGCACTGGCTTACCCATGCTGAAGAGCAGCGAGGAGCTCATTGAGACTCTCGAAGAAAATCAGGTAGGATTTGTGATGATGGCGTGTAAGTGCTTGTGTGTGTGTTTCATGGTGTGTGTGTGTGTACTACAAGTATATGTGAACATGTGCATATGTGTAGTTGCTAGTAGTCTATTTCACCTTCAGTGCAAGGCACCTCACGGGCAAGCACACAACTTGCTTAGTCATTGTCTTTTTATCATCTTTTGAAAGTTTAGAAAAGCGGTCTTTGTGGTCGAGGTTTCTCCTGTACATTCTTTGCGCAATACTTCCATTTGAGTACTGACAGGTCTTGTCTCGTCATTGCTTCTCTCTTCACACTTCTCTCCTTTTCAGGTTCAGCTACAGAACTTGATGGTCTCCAAGTACATAGCATTCTTCCAGGAAGAAGTCAGTGGTTGGCAGAAGAAGTTGTCAACTTCAGACCAGGTCAGTACTGTCGTTTGTATACTTCGAATAGAAAGTATTTGAGCCCTGAACCCAACACAGGTGACAGGCGCAACATTTCAAGTAGTCAAGCTTTTTGGCAATAGATCAAACACAATCTGGCATAAATTATGTGTGCCCCCCAACTGGACTACTAATAGCAAGAGTAGATAAACAAGAGTGTGCAACTCGCGGATGGGTAGGCCCACGGCGGAGTTTTTTGTTGACGTCATCTTTTCGACGACGCACGCGCTCGCGCTGCGAGTCTTTCGGAAAGTAAGTTGTCCCTCGTGGTCTTGGCCGGCTTTACACTACAAGGTCGGTGCCCAGCACGTGCTCTCACACTGCTCTGCGGCAAAATGCGCGTTCTTCTGAAAAAAGGTGACATCAACAAAAAATTCCGCCGTGGGTGGGGGTATCTGCAGATTGTGCAGGAGAGATCTGGAGTTGCACACTCTTGTTTATCTACTCTTGGTAATAGTCGTACACGTACAGTAGCACGTGCACTACAGACTGCATGCACTGCTGCATGCACTGCATATACGTAGCTGTTAACCAATGGGCTACTTCTGGCCAGACTATATTATCTTGTGTAATCTATGGTGCTAGTGAAGTTTACATCAGGTCCACTCCGGTTCAGCCACCCACACTAGTAGCAAGTATTACCATCGCTGGGAGCAGGGGTATCTGAATACAGTTGGATCCTGAGGATGGATACCTTGATACCGGCAATCCTTTTTCTGCAACTCGTTTGCTGAGGCTGGTGTGGTGAGCCCACAAATGGAGTCATTTCCAAGTCCACCCATAGTTCGGGGATTTCAGGGGGTGTCGGCCGTTAGGCGATTTGATAGCCGATTGAGTCATCTTCCCAAGATTCCTTTTGAATCAATTTTCCCTCTCTGAGAAGACCCACGTGACCAGTTGTGGCAGTGAGCAAGTTCAAATACAAGTATGTATGTGTGAGAGAGTTGTGTTTGTGTTTGTGTTTGGTGGTGGTCAGGTGATCACTATCTGGTTTGAGGTGCAGCGCACTTGGTCACATTTGGAGAGTATCTTTATTGGCTCTGAAGATATCCGTCGACAGCTACCCGAGCAATCTCAGCTGTTTGACGACATTGATACCAACTTCAAGGTATGTCATCAGTTCAGCTTTACCAGCCTGGCATTCTTGCTGGACACTCGACAGCATTCACTAATGTGTGTGCGTGTGTGTGTGGGGGGGGGGGGGGCAGAGAGGGTTTTTTGTGTGTGCGTGCGAGCGTTTGTGTGTATGGGGGGGGGGGGGGGGGGGAGTATGTGCGAATGTGTCTGGTTGAGGTTACTGATGTATTCTCTCTTATTATTCTCTCCTACTGTCTTACTGTGTCTTACTGTGTCTTACTGTGTCTTACTGTGATATAACAATGCAGAAACTGATGACTGAGGCCGAAAAAACACCCAATGTGGTAGCTGCCTGCTGCAAGGAAGGTCTTTATCAGCAATTGGATAAAATGGAAACCCAGTAAGTCATAGACTTGTTCACTTATAATACTCTCTCTCTCTCTCTCTCTCTCTCTCTCTCTCTTCCTTTCTCCCTTTTTCTTTCTCCCTCACACACTCACACACTCACTCACTCGCTCACTCACTCAATTTCTTGCTCTTCTCCTCTCACTGTCTCAGTATGCAATTATGTATGTTACCCGCTCTCACGTTACCTCCCATTCCCCCCCCCTTGATTTGATTAGGTTGGGCCAATGCCAGAAAGCGCTTGATCAGTATCTGGAAAAGAAGAGACTTGTGTTTCCTCGCTTCTATTTCATCTCTTCAACGGACTTGCTGGACATCTTGTCTAAAGGAGATCAGCCTCTTGAGGTAAGTAATCCATTACTGAAATAACCGTCTACACATACTGTCTGCAGTGTGTTTGCATACCAAAGACAATCTGGAGTGTTTGCGTTTGTGTGCGTCCCAAGGACAGCCTGTAGGTCAGTCTCTATGTGTGTGCATACCCAATGACACCATCTATATGTGTGCATATCCAATGACACCATCTATATGTGTGCATATCCAAGTACACTATGCTTTTACCTTTTCTTCGCCACTATATTAATATTGGCTTCACGAAGTCCAGGAGCAATGCGTTTCTTCATTATCATTTACAAACTGGTGTATGTGGGCACTATTATGTGCAGGTTGCAAGACATCTTGCCAAGCTCTTCGACAGCATGTCTAAGCTGAAATTTGAAGAAATCGATGGCAAACCTACGAATAAAGCACTGGGAATGTACAGCAAGGATGGAGAGTATGTGGATTTGAGTGAAGAGTGTGAATGCGTCGGACAGGTAAGCGGTCTTCGAGAAGTTAGTGTGTCCATGGGATTGTTCTTATTTGCTATTTTTCCTCTGTTCATCTCCCTCTGTCTGCCCCTGCCTCTCTCTCTCTCTCTCTCTCTCTCTCTCTCTCTCTCTCTCTCTCTCTCTCTCTCTCTCCTCTCTCTCTCTCTCTC